ACACCAATGTTCATAGCAGCATTATTCACGGTGGCCAGGACATGGAAGCAACCGAAGTGCCCTACGATAGATGACTGGCTAAAGAAGCTGTGGTATATACATACAATGGAATATTACTCAGCCATAAGAAAAGATGAAATATTGCCATTTGTGACAACATCGATGGAACTTGAGATGATCATGCTAAGCAAAATAAACCAGACAAAAAGTTAAAAATCACATGATATCACTTATATGTGGGATATAAACCTAAAAGCAACAAATGCACAGGACAAACAGAGACTCATGGACATGCACTATAGACTAGTGGTTACCAAAGGACTATAGAGTAGTGGTTACTAGTGGGTGGGTGAGGGAGAGAAGCAGATGGAGTGGTGAACACACAATAGAATATACAGATGTCAAATGATAATGTACACCTGAAAATTATATGACTGTATTAACCAGTGGTACCCCAATAAACAATTTAAATGTGTGTGTGTGTACACACACACACACACACACACACACACACACACACACACACACACACACACATATATACATACAGCCTAATTCTAATTCTACCAGATATTTCCAATGGATCAAATAAATAAAATTAACATGCAAACCACTTACCTTACCAACCATTGTTTATTATAACACTATTTATTACTGTTTCCTTAGTGTGAAAAAAACAAGTTTCAAACTTTAAGAAAAATGTTCAAATATACAGCCTTCAAAGTCGAAGGCCCTGAATCATCTACCCTTCCTCCATTCTTTCATGTATACAAATACATGACAAAACATAAAGTTCAGAAAACCTTTCTAAAGACTGAATTTAAGACCAGTTAAGGAAAATCAAGTGAGGTTTGACTTCATTACTAAGAGGTAATAAAAGACCAAAAAAAGGACAGATGTGCTTCACAGTGAAGTACAGGTCTGCAAAGCAATTCTTATATACTAAAAATTGTTAATAAAGCTTTCCTTAACTTTGTAATATAGTGTTATGGTCCTATAAAGTCCTATAAGTATGATCAAAATACGTACTTGCATAGAAACAGGATTTACATAGGCAAATGTTCCCAACAACTTTAATTACTTAACTTATAAGGTAGTTTACCACAAGCTTTTAGCACTTCGAACTTGTATTTAACAACCACAATGGATCTAAACACTAAACAAATAATAAAATGTTTACCAAAGATTTTATGTCTTAAATTTAAGCCTGTAAGTTCTAAACACATTAAGGGAAAGATAATTGTTTTAAAAACACATCAGAGCTTTTTAATAACTCAATTAATGAAAACCAAACCTTTCTAGACATATTCTAATATTTTATAATTCAGAGCTAACATTAGCATTTCCTCAGTATCCACAAATGTGAAAAGTTCATTTTAACCCCACATTGCCTTTACAAAACATCATCTTTTGCCATCAAAATGTACATACTCTTTTTGGTTTTCAAAGTTATCAAAGTGGTTAAATCTTAAACCACTGAGGTAGAGGGAGCGGGGAGGTTGATGGGGTAAGGGTAAGGGGTTGAATATGTGATGACAGAAAGAAATCTAACTGTGGGCAGTGAACACACAATGTAATATATATACATATTACAATGTGTATATATATATAACAATGTATATATACATATATTATAATGTGTGTGTGTGTGTGTGTGTGTGTGTATGCGCCTGACTGTTGAATTGTATACCTGAAACTTAGTGGATTTCATTAACTAATGTCACCATAATAAAAATAAATAAATTAAAGTAAAAACAAAACAAAAAAAACACTGAGGTACTCTAAAGATCAATAACAGGGGTGCTTTAAAGAACTCTTCAGTGACAAATATCAATTGTGGATAGTACAGCTATCTTTGGCTCTGAGGTGTTAGAAAATAACCCATTAACTTCTATATTATAAAATTTAATTTATAGAAGAGCATAAATATGCTTTTGATAAATATAC